ACCTTGTCCTAATGCCCTCCACTCCTTCTTCTATCAGAAGTACTAGCACATAGTCTCCAACAGTGTTATCCAATTCTGCAACACTGTCTTTGCCACAAGTTTGGTCCCTCATGAAATAAATCAAACTAATCTTGCCTCATCCCTAAATGTCCTAATGGCACTATGTTGAAAAACTTCAGACCAATTGGTCTGTGCAACACTCTGTATAAGTTGATCACTAAGATCATTATCAATAGAATCAAACCAATGCTCCAAAACATCATTGGCCCTACTCAGGCCGGCTTTCTAGCCAATAGAAGAGCCGCTGACAATTACATTGTGGTCCAAGAGTACATTACCCACTTCCAAAATATGAAAGGCAAGAATGCCAACATGATCCTGAAAGTAGACTTAGAGAAGGCTTTCGATAGGTTAGAATGGTCTTTCATAAGAGAATCCCTTCTCTTCTTCAACTTCCTCACTAAGCTTACCACCCTTATCATGTCCTGTCTCACTACAAGCTCCATCTCCATCCTAGTCAATGGTACTCAGACTGGGTACTTCATCATATACATGGAAATTCTCTCCAGGGATATTGACAATGCTGTATCTAAGAAGGATTGGTGTCCTATCAGTATCAGCAGGGGAGAGCCTAAAATCTCCCACCTATTCTTTGCTGATGACCTCACTATGTTTGCCAGAGCCAATAAAAATAAATGTGAGTTAATATTAGCCATTTTGGACAACTTCAATACTTCATCTGGGCAAAAAGTCAACCTACAGAAATCCAAAGTGATCTTTCCCTCTAATTGCCAAGCAGAGTGTGCCATAGCATACAATGCCATTCTAGGTATCAAAGGTGCTAAAAACATTGGGAAATACCTTGGGTTCCACATCTTCACTAAAATGCCTAGGAACAATAACTTTCAATTTTTCTTAGATAACCTTAATAGTAGAATGACAGGATGGAAAATAAAATTCCTGAACATGGCTGGTCCTAAGGCATGCCTTAGTAGAATCCCAAACTATGTCATGCAATACATCCAGCTACCCTCCCAAATAACCAACCAAATTGACAAAATCCAAAGGAATTTCATTTTGGGGTACAACCCCTATGAAAAGAAAGTTAACATGGTCAAGTGGGCCACTGTCACCAAACCAAAGAACAAAGGAGGGCTGGGTCTCCAACAGTCCTACCTAAAGAAAAAAACATGCCACACCAGTCATGCTTGGAGACTCTACAATAACACTATCTCCATCAGAGCTAGAGTGCTCATGGGCAAGCACTGCAATGGAGGAGGGAGTATGGTTAAGCCTAAAACTAGAACTTGGAAAAATTACCAAGAGGGATGGAAGATTTGCACTAATTGCACTAGATGGGTGGTTCACAAAGGAGATAGAGTTAGATTTCCCGCTGACCCATGGATGCCCAAAATGCAACCTTTGGATACAATCCTCAATGGTCCATGGCACCATAGAGACATGAACACCAAGATTAATGAGGTGTTCTCCAATGGGGTTTGGGATTTCAGCTGCATTCCCTACCCAATCCCACTTGATACCACCTTGATAATACAAAACACCTTCATCCCCACCTCCACATTCTTTGAGGACAAACTAATGTGGAACCTTAACCCCAATGTCACATTTAGCACCAAATCAGTCTACTCTTATCTTGATGCACTTATGCATGATGACAATTCTAATGAAGACCACTTCAGCTGGATTTGGAAACTAAGGCCCCTAATAAGATCAATTTCTTCATATGGCTCATTCAACAAAATAGACTGCCTATAGGGAGTCACTTACACCATATTGGCCTGAGAATTACCCCTAATTGCTACTTTTGTGATCATGCAATAGAAGACATAAACCACATTTTCTTTGAATGTGCCAATGCCAAACAATTCTGGCAGCATTTGCTGCACAACTGCACTCAACAGCCTAGCCTTAGTGCAAATCCATTTTGTATGACAACTGGGAAGACACATTGCATAGGCTCCAAAATGTGGACTACAATGCTTGCATTAAATGGAAACAACTACTGCCCTTCTGCCTCTGGGCAATCTGGCTAATATGAACTCTAATGTCTTTGAAAAGAGGAAGAACAAATTAATGTTCACCAAACAATATCTAAGGCAGTTGAATACCATCACGCAACAACCACTCCAAGGACTGCTCCTGCAACAACCACCTTATACCTAAAGTGGCGCCCACCAGATATAGGCTTTTAAAAGCTGAACACTGATGGGGCTGCATGCCTTAACACAGGGAAATGAGGTATAGGGGGAGGGGGTATTTAGAAACAAATAGGGGTGACTGGATCTTAGGCTTCATGAGGGGTCTCCCAAACATTGATAGTCCTAGACAGAGCTCCAAGCCCTATGATCGGGACTAAAAATAGACCTAGACCAAGGCTTGGCACCTCTGGTGATTGATACCGACTCTGAAATGGTGTTGGAAAAGTTAAAAAATGGCAACTTAACTCACAACCCCATAATTTCTGAATGTAGATATCTGATGGAGAAGTTTGGGAACCCATTCATAGGACATAGCTACATGGAGCAGAACCAAGTGGCGGACCTCCTCGCAAAGGAAGGAGCTAGGAAGGAAGTTTTTGACAAGACCCAATTTTTGACAGTTCCTCTGATGTTTGCTAATAGAGCAGTCTGAGCAGACATCTCAACAACTGTTTTTGAAAGAAAAGTCAATATTTGTAATATGGCAACTTTGGTCGACATTGATAACAACCAATAGGGGATCTCACCCCCTCTATTGATGTAATTTTGTGAATGTTTTTATATGTACAAGTATCTAGTTAACCAAAAAAAAGATACATATCACAGTACTGTGAATCAGTGGTGCAGGGTAAAGAAAAGGTAGAGCGTAGGAGCAAATTATTTCCACTCATTACTTTATTACTATGAAAAGGTCGGTCTAATGCATTACCCTATAATTGTCACTAATAATATTCTACAAGCAATCTTTCTTTCAGTCCAAGAACTTTTTCTATTTATGATTACTCTCATGAGCAAAGCAAAAAAATAATTTATTTAAAAGAATCCAATAAAACATTCATAAATAAATTTCAAACAACTAATATTACTTGCAAACAAAGATTGTGGAGAATAAGTACTCTAATTAAGCTAATCGTATCGGAATTTCAGGTAAATTAATGCGATCAATATTCTAAAGCAAAAGATTTTATGAATGGAATTTAGCATTAAGATTGTGAGTATTAACTTTATAGATAGATTCTCATAGGAAATGGAAGAAAAGCTAACACATTTTAGGTAATCACTTTATGATGGAATGTGGCCATTTACCCCCACAAACTTTTTATATAAAAAATTAAAAATAAATTACGCAGAAATTGAAAATACAGTAACCAGTGATTTCAACAAAAGATAATCAATACAGGAAACTCTAAATATTTTCGGAGGTTGGTTTGTCCTTTTACATTGGGACACAGTGTTTGCAGAAACGAAAACAATTGGTTCTCTATAAGAATTTTATTTGTTTCTTTCAGTTTTAAATGGAAGCTTACAGAATCAAGAAGAATCTTGTGCTAACAGGAAATATTTTTATAAAAAAAGGTAGCTGATTTATATTCCAAACAATATTCTGCAACTTCCAAGCCAACTTTGTATGGCAGTTCAAATTAATTTACAATAATAGGTAACTTCTCAGAGAAAACATGCTGCGGCAAAACTAAATTACATTTTATATTTCCAATTTTATAGCTTAATCCGCAAACAATTGCTTCATTTTCGTCTTTTTGATTGTCACTGGAAAATCACATTTTGTTGTCATTGACGTATGCTTGTTTTTCCTTTGTCCTTTGTTTCTTTTCTCTTTTGCGGGTCGTATGCCACAGTAGTATTTAGGAGTTGAACATGTGCAAGTTCATCTACTATTATATCTAATATCTAATAGGACGTGCGAATAAAAGTTTTGCGAATGGAACAAGAGCTGTAAAGGTATGTTCCACATTTAATTTACCAATGATGCTCATAAGTCATAACACTACTCTTTCATATATTCTATATATGGCTTGTTAACCAACTTCGAATCTGCTCGTGAAATTACGATACCACTGAACTATCAATATTATTCCATTTATGTTAACTCTTTTTGAGGCACTAATAATTACACGTGTCTATAATAACCGCAAAATTTAAACATCCACTACTTGAAGAACCTTCATCGTCAGCACGTGAAGGAGGAGCAATTGGTATGTCAATTGGATTTATAACTCTAAATCCTTTAGAAAATCTATAGAAGACCCTCTAAGTAAGAATGACCTTAATCTTTTGATAGGAAACCTCATCAATAACAATGAATGGAATATTAAGGATATTTCTTTTGAATTGCCCCATAATATCCTTAATAAATTGACCCTTACTCCCATCCCTAGTAAAGAATCAATAATTGATAGTACTAGCTGGAGCCTCAACTCAAATGGTCTTTTTACCACTACATCATGCTATAATCTTCTATCTGAGGTCAATCCATCTTCCAACTCGTTTAAGTGGATTTGGAGCCTTCATTGCCCCAACAAAATAAAGTTCTTACTTTGGCAATGCATGCATAATCGTATCCCTTGCCGAGCCTATCTAGCCAAAATAGGATCAATATTGATGCTACTTGTACTATTTGCAAAATTGGGGTGGAGGACATCCAAACATATTTTTATTAAATGTCCAGTCTCTAATCGTTTTTGGGAGAATATGGGCCTTCCTTTCCTAAATATTAGTAGTGACACAAATTGGCTAGTGAAGCTGAGGAATATCTTCATTCAAAGTAGTAATCACTAGATAAATTAGGATACTTTATTTCCGTTCTCCATCTGGAAAATATAGAAAAACAGGAATCATAATAATATCAACAATCTTAATCGTAACCTGGAAGCAAGAAAGATTATCCATGTAGCATGGGAATTCAAGTTGTTGACGGAGAAAAATCCCTTCACGCTCAAAAAAATTAAAATTGAGATTAATTGGGACAAATCACCCAAAGGTATGATTAAATTAAATTGTGATGGTGCCTTTTCAAGTAATAATAATGCAGCTGGGCTTGGTGGTGCATTCCGAAATAACAATGGAGACTGGATTATGGGATTCCACAAAGCAAGCCAAATAATTTCTCCTACACATGCAGAGTTGATGGCATTACTAGAAGGATTAAAAATTGCTAAAGAAATGAACTTCCTAAATTTGGAAATTGAAACTGATTGTACGAATGTCATCAAGCTTATATATGAGGATAGCTATAACTTCTCTAACATTGTTTCTGAATACAGATGGTTAATGCACCAATTGAAGCTCCCACATCTGAAGCATAATTTCAGAGAAGGAAATGAAGTGGCACATATGCTAGCCAAGGAAGCTATCAAGAACCCACCTTCTACTAAGTGTTTTTTCCATCCTTGTCCATCCTTTTTTGTTGAACAAGAAGTGATTAAGAACAAGCATGGTATTGGTGATAGCTTTAAGAATATTTCTACTAGTGTTTGTAAATATTTGGCAACTATGGGCAATAGTAATGCCCTAAAAACATCTACTATGTCTATGTAGCTTTTGTTTAAGTAATATAATTATCCGTGTTTTGTGTTAAAAAAAATATCAGGCGATGACTCACGAGACTTGGGAAATGGAAAAACTCCAGTTGTAAGGATAGTTGTCAATTGAGCTTGAAGACCTTCAAATTGTTGATCATTTAACTTCTCTCTAGCCTTCGACGCTTGAAGCTCGGCTGTTAGCTTTGCAACTTTCTGCTCCATAGCCGAGAGCTATCAGGAGACTCATCTTGTGTGGAAGTCCATATATCTTGCAATCTACATATGTAATGACGAAATGATTTCGTTGGAAAGACATATGCCATCCTTTTCTTGGACCGCCAACATATTGTAACCAAATCCATTCAGCGTCCTCATTTGAAGGTCCTGCCACCTCACTCGAATCAATTGCTTGCTGACTTTGACGAAACTCCTCCAAGCTATATTTATAGCAACTCTACATTTAAAATATGAAATTAATATATAAATAATATTATAAACACAATAATAACTTGCCGGAAATTTGGAAGCTCACATATGTAATCTCAATTCGGTCCTCCACCCACTTATCTGGATCTGAGGCGTTCTTCTTCTTCGAATGTGGGTCTCTAGAAACAACTCATCGTGATTCATTTTCTTCCCATATTTTTTCCTTCAAATGAAATGAAATATTTTAAATATATTAAATTGAATATAATAATAAAATATTATTGTAAGGCTTTATGAAATTACCATGCACCTTCTAATCGTCCCCATGCTGACAACACCCCCACAGTGTAAGAAGTCACCATTCTCAGATGCTCGAGCTTTCTTTCCTTGGTCTCTTTTCTTTTGAAAATTTTAAGTTGCCCATTGTCCCAATAAAATCTCCCATAAATGCAGGAGACACCAATCAACCTTCTTATGTATCTTATGAGTAGCTGAGAAAGAGTCTGACAATCTCTTACAGGCCTTGCGCTCAATTTTTTTTAGCAATTGTCTCTTTATATCGGTCTTCCCATGTATACTTCATCTGTAAATCAAATGTATAACTTTAGATGGAGAAATAATTTTTATAACTCTTAACATTTATTAAAAATGCATTTGTACCTTAAACTAATTGAAAATTTGCTACTTGAGGTCGAAGGAAAAATCACTCCAAGTCACATAGGCCCCATTATATAGCCTGCTAATGGCATTGGTGATTATCTTTGTAGTCTCGTGACTTGGGTGGAAACTGTATTGTAGCAATAAAAATATATGAATCAGTTACTTTAAGAATTATAAAATTAAAAAATTAACAAGTAACATATAAATCTTACCCATTACAAGATTGATTACGATCCTATTATATTGATCATACTGCACTTCCTCTGGATCAGGCTACGTCTGCATTAGAAGCATGTGTAGATGGGGTATCGGTATGCTCATAGCTACTATCCCGAAGGCAAAGTCTTGAAATGCTAGGAGATGCACGATGTGGAGATGGAGTGGCAGATGAAGATAGTTGTGATCCAGATCATTGTAAGCTAGATGGCTGTCATCTATCGGTGGCACTATAGATGGCTGCATGGCAGTTGGCTGCACTGAAGATGGATGTTGTCCACATAGCTGTGATACAAGGGGACTAGATGATGGACATATCGACCTATGGCCATGTTATGGAATACCTGGTGTATGAACGAAAGGATATGAAGGGCTAGGCGAAGGCATCAGTCTATAGCCATGTGGTGGAGGATGATAAGAACTAAGAATACTATATCGAAGAATCGATTTGTGCAGTAGAAGGATGTATATGAGGAGTGGAGGGAACAAAAGGGGTAGTACTATCCTCAGAATCTACTCACCTTCTATCCTTCTTAGAGTTCCCGCAACTACCTCGATCACGAGATTTACCGTGATCATCATTACCTCGGACCTCGCTTGCCATCTGTAATAAAAAAATGTTAGTATAAAATATAAATTAGTAAGACAATAGTGCTTGAAAAACTAATATGTTAATCCTCATCAACATATTCTTCCTCATCTGTCCATTCTTCTTCTTCATTTGTTTCAATTTCATCAGCTGATTGTGATCTTCAGTTTCTATTGTTGTTATTTCCTCAATATTAACTTCTTCTAATATGTGTTGAGGATGCTCCACGTAATTTTCTAATTGATCATCCACCAATTGGTGAACATTTGATATGTCATTTTGGTATGCAACGTGGAAGACATTTTTGACTTCCACCCTACCCACAAGCTTTGTTTTAATTACCATCAATCAATAAGACTTATCCCTCCATAATGGATATGGATCATAATACACACGCCAAATATTTTATGCAATTATAAAAGGATCATGGCGATCATACCGCCTCTTGCTATTAACCTCAATTATTTTGTATTGGGAGTGTACCTTTGTACTTCTTCCTATTATTGGGTCAAAGCACTTGCATCGAAAAAGTATAACCTCTTATATGGCTGTCACAACAAAAAATTCAACTAGTCATGATGCAACAATCCGATTCAAAAGAGATTTACTGAGAAAATAAGTGATGAAAAAAATTGAACTTTAAAACACTTACGAAGGACTCGTAGTACAAACATGAGCTTCTAAGATTTAGAGTTTACAAAGCTGGTATGAAATAAATACATTATCTATTTGAAATATACATCAACAGATTAAAAATTCTAAAGCTACCAATAACAAGAGGCAGCTATGGCCGGAACGCAGGTACATCTTTAATTCTAGCTCCTGCCATATACATCAACATCAACATCCAAATCTTTGCATGCAAAGTGCAGAAGTATAGTATGAGTACAACCGACCCCGCGTACTCAATAAGTAACAAACCTAACTTTAGGTTGAAAGCAGTGATGAGCTTGGACAAAGGTCAGAGTCCAACACCAATATTCAAGAGCAATTCGTAACAATATAAGAAAAATAATACAAGTAATGACTCAAAAATAGGATGCTCAGCTCGTTCACAGTTACAGAAAATAGTCATGCTTTTCAAGTATAACAGTAAAACCTAGTTCCTTCACCGACATCACCAAAATATGAGCAAGTCTAAAAAACTATGATTTTTTCCAAAATCTTTTACCAATAAATAAGATATTTCATTATCAGATATCATGAGGAAAGTACATCTTTATGCCTATATGTCAATGTGCATGTGAAGTCATACATGTCAAAAAACCGTGTAATGTGAGGGAATACATCTCTATGTCTGTGTGTCAAGCATACATGTCAATGCAATGTACCATAGTGATGAACTCATGTACCCACACTCTAAGAGTACTCAATCTCACTGTCTCACACGCCCACTCATCACACTCAATCACTTAATACACTCAGTCATACTTGCATAAAAAATGTATGACCCTCTTATATGGTTGTCACGACCCAAAAATCCAAATAGTCATGATGACAACTAACTCAATCTGCTGGGTAAGCCAAATAACAATAATATGATTCAAAATAGATTTACTGATAAAATAAGTGTTGAAAAAAAATTGAACTTTAATACCCTTCCCAAGGACTGGTAGTACAATTCATGAGATTCTAAGATTTAGAGTTTACAAAGCTGGTATGAAATAAATACATCATCTGTTTGAAATATACATGAACAAATTAAAAATTCTAAAGCTACAAAGAACAAGGGGAAGCTATGGCAAGAACGCACGTACATCTTCAATTCCAGCAGCCGCCAAACTCATCAACAATCAACATCCAAAAATCTGCACACAAGGTGCAGAAATATAGTTGGAGTGCAAGCGATCCAGTGTACTCAATAAGTAACAAACCTAACTTTAGGTTGAAAGCAGTGACGAGCTTGGACAAAAGTCAGAGTCCAACACCAATACCCAAGAACAATTTGTAACAATATAAGAAAAAAATACAAGTAATAACTCAAAAATATGATGCTCAACTCGTTCACAGTTACGGAAAATAGTCATGTTTTTCAAGTATAACAGTAAAACCCAATTCCTTCACTGAAATTACCAAAATATGAGTAAGTCCGAAAAAAACTGTGATTTTTCCCAAAACCTTTCAACATTAAATAAGATATTTCACTATCAGATAGCATGATGAAAGTACATCTCTGTGCCTACATGTCAATGTGCATGTGAAGTCTTAAATGTCACAAAACAGTGTAACATGAGGGAATGCATCTCTATGTGTGTCAAGTATTCATGTCCATGCAATGCACCACAGTGATGAACTCATGTACCCACACTCTAAGAGTACTCAATCTCACTGTCTCACACTCCCACTCATCACACTCAATCACTCAACACACTCAGTCATACTTGCATTGTAAAAGTATGACCCTCTTATATGGCTGTCACGACCTAAAAATCTAACTAGTATTGATGGCACCTAACCTAACCCGCTAGGTAAGCCAAATAACAAAAATTAGATTCTAAAGAGATTTACTGAGAGAATAAGTGATGAAAAAAATGAACCTTAATACACTTCCCAAGGACTAGTAATACAAATCATGAGATTCTAAGATTTAGAGTTTATAAAACTGGAATGAAATAAATACATCATCTGTTTGAAATATACATGAACAGATTAAAAATTCTAAAGCTACCACGAACAAGATGCAGCTATGGCCGAAACACAGGTACATCTTCAACTCCAGGTCCTGCCATACACGGCAACATCAACATCCAAAAATCTACACGCAAGTGCAAAAATGTAGTATGAGTACAACCGACCCCGTGTACACAATAAGTAACAAACCTAACTTTAGGTTGAAAGAAGTGACGAGCTTGGAAAAAGGTCACAGACCAGCACCAATATCCAAGAACAATTTGTAGCAATATAAGAAAAAAATATAAGTAATGACTCAAAAATATGATGCTCAGCTCATTTACAGCTACAAAAAATAGTCATGCTTTTCAAGAATAACAGTAAAACCTAGTTCCTTCACCGAAATAACCAAAATATGAGTAAGTCCAAAAAACTGTAAGTTTTTCCAAAACCTTTCAACAATAAATATGATATTTCATTATCAAATATCATGAGGAAATTACATCTCTATGCTT